GAGATTCCAAGGGTGTTTAATCCTGGAAGGTTGTTAACATTGACGGCTGTCACGTTGGAACCAACTGCATTAGTTACTGGTCTAGCATTGTGAAGCCCTGCGAAAAAGAAGTCATCCGCCGTTGCGAGCTTTGGGTCCTTGCAAAACTTTCCGTTCACAAAAACTGATAATAGTAACACAAAAAAAAAGAGAGTAAGAAATGATAAATGAATGATAAAATAAAGGAAATGCTACTAGGAAATCTCCATGTACATACCACCATTTGCTGGGGTGTTGACGCCAACACAAAAGTCTTGAACAGGGCTGGGGTCAGAGGAAATGACTAATGGAAGTGTTAAAGCCAAAAGAGATAGAACTGCAAGAAAGGAGAGACTCTTCATTGCCATATATTAAGTGAACCGGAATTAGAGAAATGTTTTCTTTTGTAATATGGTTTTAGTTGAGAGGTAAGAAACATATAAGACAATGAGATGAATTTATAGATGAGTTTAGGTGCTGAAGTAGTCCTGTAAAACTTGGAAACCTGAAAATGTTGTTTGAAATGGTTTAGTTTTTTTTTTAAAACAAATCGTGCTCCCACAACGCGCCGTGTTTATGGTTTACTTCAATTATAAAAAGTACACTATGTTTTGATTTCTTAAGAAAAATTATCCATTTGAAGTTTGATATGGATTTCGGTAATAAAAAGTACACTATGTTTTGATTTCTAAAGAACAATTATCCATTTGAAGTTTGATATGGCAAGTGTCGAGAAATTATACATTTTTGTGTGTGCACAAGTTATATATAAAATATTTGTTTTATGATTATCTTCCCTCAAATTGTCTTTACATTCCCTCAAATGTCAATGTGAAACTGTTTGTTTTGGTTTGATTGTTTCTTAAGTGACTAGGCACGACTGTATCAACACTACAAGAATTCATTGAAATAGCTACGGAATGGCAAAGACATTTTCGTAGCTAGTATTTTAGCCATAGATGTAGCAATAGAGCATATAACTTCAACTTTGTAGCTAGTTGTTGCAATCTATAGCTATATAGCTAGAGACAATTTTGTTGGTGATCCGTAGCTAAATAGCTATGCTTTGGCTAGAGATAAAGTGGTTGCTACAGTTGTTCTATTTAGCAACAACTAACTACAATCATTTTTATTGCTAAATAACACCAATGTC